ATTATTCTTCGTCACGTGAATTTCGCGTCCTTAATAATCCGTTCCCGTCGCAGATCGGTCAGGAGTTCCCGCCCCACCCCACCCCATCACCAACATGGCGGTTTCCCGCTAAACCGTTTTTCGTACCTATTTACCAGTCACGATATATTATTGTTTCGACCACGGCTGTTTGGAAAACCGTCGTTACCCGCCGTACAGTATACCAATATTCAGGTACCAGAGCTTATTTTAAGCGAATTTTACTCAATGGCACTTTGGTAAAATTGTCTACCTGCAGGGCTGCAGAGGAACGTGGTATAGGGGAAACCGGTCGAGTCGCCGCGAGACCAGCGAGTCCTACGAACGGAAATGCAGTGCGCAGATAAAAATTACGAAAGCGTTGGCTGGCGTTAGAGTCGTGACTCGTAAAGAATTATATCGCGACGACGATAACGGTAGACGATTTCCGAAGAAATCAATTAAAACACTGTTGAAAAATACGACGCGTACTATTTATCGTTTTTACGCGGTTTACCGATTAATACATTTCTTCATATCGAAAACAATTCCGGCGTCCAGTTCTGTAATAGTTCTGCGTTATTTTGCGTTCAATGAAATATTATTTATTTTTTTTTTTTTATGTAATACACGATAAACTGTTCGAAAGCCCAAATGACAGTGTATAATATCGCACTACCGTGTAGGCAAACATTTTCTATTCATTTCAATGTGCAGTTTGTTACATACCTAATAATTGATTTATATTTACGCGTTTAAAATTTTAAATATGCTCTGGCAGTACACGCACTTGGAATATTGTCTATCTCGTTATTCGCTCCAGTTCTGTAATAGTTCTGCGTTATTTTGCGTTCAATGAAATATTATTTATTTTTTTTTTTTTTAAATACCTATGACGTCGTAGCTTTGTTCGGAAAACCTAAAGATCGCGCGGCGCATACGACCGGTGTAAAACGTATCGCGTGACCCGTGCCCGCGTTTCTCGCGACGGAATATTATTTTTGTGTTAATTGTAATTTCAAGCGATTTTAATATTTTTTTTCGGCTCTATTACACCGTTACGAATATTGTATCGGATTTATCGATCGGATCGATGATCGGTGGTCGGACCGCGAGGTTTTTCAATAATATAATTAAGTTGTTTGAAGTCAATTTTTAAGTCCGGTAAGTTTTCGAAGGCGGATTTAGCTGGATTTAGCGGATGAAGATCTGGAACCAGAACTTAATTATTATTTGTTCAATCGAGTTTGAGCGTTTATGTTTTTTTGTGTAGAGGTTGTAGAGTTTTGGAGGAATCTTTTAATTTAGTTGCGAGTGTACCAGTATTTGTTTGTATCTTTTGCGATAATGTTGATGATTATGTTGGATCATTAGGATTTTTTATGGTAGAGATGTTATCATGGTGGCTAATGCTGGAGGTAGATGAAGCGGGTCTTTTTCCTTGGTCGACTGGTTCCTGTGTGGTGGGTGTGTTGGTAATTGTTACCTTAGGATTATTTTCGAAACATATATCTGTGTTGGAGTGGGCGCTGACCGTTTTTCGGGTATTCTGTTCATTAAGATCCATGACATTTTTAACCGAAATGGTGTTTGGGTTATTAAATCGAATCGGTTCGGATTTATTATCTAATGCATTTTTACAACGGTTCGAAGTATGGCCCGTTTGTTTAAATAAATAACAGTCACGGTGTCGTCAGATAAGAATATACGATATTCCGTTTGGTCGAATTGTAATAAAATGGAGCTCGGAATTTTGTCACTGTGCTCAGGGTGTATATTTGACGCCTGAAGCTTCCAATATGACCGAACTCGTCATTAGAGAATCCAGCTTTCATAAATGTAATTGGTGATAACATTACACGTTATCTTATATTAGATGCATAAAACGTATTAAGTTTAGTATATAGAAATTTAAAACGCCATTAATTAGGCCATCTATCCATCGTAATAATATTTTAGTAGATTCCCCAAAAAACAGTATTATAGGAGATCAATTTTTTCGTCATTTTTAGACTACCTTTAAAAGTCAATTAATTGAAAGATTTAAAAAACACAATTACATTGTTTCTGGTTTGCAAAACTTGCTTCCAAGTTTTATAATTAAATTGAATCCAAGTAGCGATGACTTGATGAAAAATGCATTAATTCGTATAAAAGCGTTTTACCGACACGATATGACACTTTTGAATTCGAATTGAAGGTGTTGATCGAAAAATAAATAAATCGGTACACGATAAAGAACTTTCAAAATCTGCAATCGATACTATAGGCGTTATTGCGACGCACCATTATCCATTTGGAGTTTACTGTGTAGTATTTATACTTGCAATACTCCTAGTGTCAACATGAGGCAGTATACGTTTTCGGCAGAATGTCCATTTTCAACTTTAAGACGAATAAAAACCTATTGGAGGAATAGTTATAGTAAAGATCGTCTAACAGGTTTAGCCTTATTGTCAGTCCGCCGATGTATCCCAATAAATATTGAAGAAATAATTAATATACTTTCTAAAATACCACACAAGGTTAACTTTGCTTTAAAACTGTATTGAACAATTTTTTTTTTTGCATTAAAATTATAGTATGTAACACAAACTTTGTATACATTGTCATATATATTGTACTGTATAATATCATTAAAATAAAAATATAATTATGTAGGTTTAATTTATGTGTAACAAATATTTTAAACAAGTCCTCTCTAATCCACCAATAACTAGAAAACATTTTCTTTTATTATAGAAAATTTGTACAGATAAAACCCCAAATAAAACCAGGGGATATAATTTTGTATACATCAATAGTATAAGTATCAATAATGTGCTTTTCGAGGTTTTTAACATTGAATTCCTCCCTAAACGTTTTTATGCTCACATTACACGTGTAACAAATGATGTTTTTAAAGTACCGATTAGAGCCAAAATCCGTCATGTTTTGTTCGGAGGGCGAAATTTGTAGGGGGAATTTTGTACACAGTTTAAAAAATAAAATTAAAAAAAAAAAAAACATCATTGTAAAACAAATACATAATTTCTCGTTTCCCTGAGAACCTAAAATAATTTGGTGACTTTTATTGGTGTCCATTATTAACCTTATTAAATTAAACCCCGTCACGGATTTGGATCAGATCAAATTTAATTTGTTTACCACTATTACTACGAACAAACGGCGGTGCTCGTTACCTATCGCCGTAACTGTTTAAAATAAATTAACAATATCTTAACTTTGTGTTGGTAACTATGACGGAGCGACAACAGCCAACAATCGTAACTGTGTGTGTACTGGTTGTTACCAGTACCCTATACGGACGGACATAACGAGGATATAAGGTGTTTGTAATTACGTTTAGAAACTTGAAAAACTATAGTTAAAACAGTGCACAACCGTGGGCGCAACAAGGCGACGTTAAAGTGTTTAGTATCCGCAAGTTTAAAATTAGCATCCCCAAATATACCGAATAAGTGTTTTTATAGAATCGACTAAATATTTTATCCGTGAATAATTAAGAAACAAAACAAAATATGTGTGTGTAAAAAATAAATTTAACCAAATCGTAATACGTTTTTATATAACATTTTTATTATATAAATGTAAGAAAAAAAAAATTAACATTGTTTAATGGAAAAACGACACAGCTATAAAATTATTCCGCTGTCGTGCACCGCGAACATTCAAAACTCGCACCGATGAAACCTGGAAATCATAATAAATAGGATAGCGAAATAATGTTCATCGCGTAAAATCGGACTTTAATACGAAATCCGGTAAAAAATAATATGGAGTTACGAAATACCTACAGCAGTCCAACAGCAAAATATTATTTCCTTATGAAAAACAACGATGCACCGAGTACTAAACGTCATAAAAGATCATCGTTTCATAAGTGCGATGTTCATTCGTGGCGAATATTGTTTTAACGTATCCTAAAGTAAACAGGAAAACGAAATCGAATTTAATCATAATGGTAATAATGATAATTACGCTATTGTGTAGTAAACAGTGGCCTGCGCAGACGGGGTGAGATTGGGGACCGTACTCTCTTCTCCACAATGCGCCTTTCGAATACGACAACCGTGCGTGATACAGTTATTTGTTTTGGTATACCTATTTACTGCATAACTATTAATCGTTCGGCTAAGTTAAAAGGGAAAAACTCGGCTTTATCGGCTATCGGGATTCGGTTATTTGTAGAACTGGCATCGAAATTCGTATCGTAGAGTCGAACAGAGAAAATGCGTTATTCGGGAAGATTTGTTTGCGATTAATATTCGCCGTTGCATCATCGTCTACCGTGAGAAATTCCTGGACTGCGCCACTGGTTGTATACGAGTCTGTTGCCACATAACTACGTCGCGATATGGTGTGGTATTAGCTTCTTCCGTTTCGGCGGGCTGATCGTTTTCGATGATGCGAACTCCAAATACCCACGTTCGGGTGCCCGGGAAACGGTGTCAAAAGGACACGATCGTTTTATTTTTATAGTCGCGGGCGTTACTATGACGCCACCTTCCAGTTTTAGACGTTTCGTTCTATTTTCAAATTGGTTTGTGAACTCATTCGGCAATTCACGTTTGAACGGACGCCGTCCCGTCAACGACAATACACCGTCCGTTAAACCGATGATGGCCCGCTTCGTTGTCAAACGTTTCAACCGTATCGTTCGACAATTCAACATCAACATTTCCTGATAACACAACGGGATGTTTAATTTTTGTAAAAAAATCCGATTGGAAATTGCCAGGTTACACAAACTGTTTGTAACTAATCGCCAAACTAAATGTTAATCTACAAGAAAGTTCTTGTACACATTTATTTATCAATGTGAGATTTATGTAACCAAAGTTGATTATAGACGCATGAAAAAAAAATCACATATTAAAATATATACGCATAAGTCATTTAAATTCTAAATGTTTAACAAAGAATTATATGTATTGTTTTTAGTAATAATTTGCCTTATTCGATTGTTGAATTAGTTCGTGATTATACGATTTAACGATGTCCTATTCTGTAGAAGATTCATTCATAAAACCATCTATGCGTTCGTTAATAAACTCACCGTTTACATTTAATGATCCGTTTTCTTCCAATGCAACAATAGACTCTATGTGGTTAACAGTATTTACTAGTCTTTTGATGTATTCATTCGCATTTTTTTCTGCGTTCCAAGCTTTCAGAATTTGAATAGCTATCTTTCCTACTTCTGTACGCTTCTTAAGCAATTCTAAATATATTTTAAAGAAAATTAATTATAAATTATGAATAAAATGGCTATTAAACACTTTATGAAATATAATTAATTTTTCACTTTGAGTATCGGACACTTTACTGGACACTGCAAGACTTATGAATATAGTGACATTATGGGTGAACCCAATAATATCTATTGGTTCAGATGAAATACTGTTAATAATATTTTCTTTAAATGAAAACACGCGATCTTAAAAAAAGAAAACTATTTGTTAGAAATCAAATACAGTTAAAATTTAATTAAATGGCGTACCGAGTGAAAAACTAATTGAATAGAACTGTGGATTGTTCAACATAGTAAGTGCGTCTTGTACAATTTTAAGACAGGATTCTTAAAAAAAAAAAAAAAACTCTATTATAGCCACATAAATTTTAAATATTTAAGAACTGTAAAAAATATTTATTCGTATACACTGACCAAACCATGGAGCGTTTTCCGAGACACGTATATCATCGGAATAAAATGCCAATTCTAAACCATTTTTTACTTCGGTTAAACTTCCGACTTCCGTTAAACTCTTTTTTAGGTCCTGAACTTCCTTTTTAAGCTCCTGTTTAAGAAAATCGTGTATTATTTGTTATAGATTGTACCGAACTGCACTCGGGTCAACAACGTCATTCATTACACGTCTTACTAATTAAAATACAGATATTTATTTTATATTTCATAAAAGTTAAAATTATTTTATTCATATTATCTATTTTTTTTTTTATAAATGGATTTAAATATTTTTAACTTTACTAGTAAAATACAGACTTTCTCGATTTATATCTTTTTTTTTTTTTTAGTTTTGCATCCGAATTTCTAGTCTCTACGAATATTTCCAACTGAATCTGCTATAAAAAAAAACAAAACCGAAAATAAAACATTTCGTATAAGTACATTTCCGTAAGTTTTTACCTGGGTTTTCGCGATTATTACGAAAACCGTTTGGAAAGTCCAAAAATTAACCTCGTTTAATTACCGCCCGGGTAAAATCGCCTTTTAGAAAAGGCACTACACTTGAAAACCGGAGCGGACGTTTCTGGTAAAAATGTTTTTTACAGATTAAAAAATAATAAATATCATTGTAAGACACCCCCATACATCCTCGTTTCGCTCGGTGTCTAAACCTCGGAACATTTTATCCGAAAATTTACAAAATTATAATAATAATAATTATTAAACTAATTATATTATACACAAGTACAGCCCGCAACGTGCACGACATGATCACACGCGTATAATAATATACTCGTATATTATAATTATACGAACGGTGACCGCAATAAAATATGGTAAATGGATATCGCGGCGTAATTTCAATATTCCAAGGTCGCGAATATAATCGTCAAGACTGCACTACGGTTTTGAATATCCGTACGCAATGATAGTAACAACAACGACAACAATAATAATAACAATAATTCATAATATTACGGGCTCGGTGTTTTTTTTTCAATATTAAACGCCACTTAAATATCATTTACATTTTATAACAACAACAGTAACGTCGAGTCGAACTCGAATCATTGCAGTTTTTGACACGGATCCCTTAATGTATCGTTATTTTGATGTTAATTTTGCGTACGAGTCACGTCGCGTAACGTCTCTCAACTTTTAAGTCTCGTTCCAATCCACGTGCCCCAATACTTTTCCCGTTCGCGTCCTACATTTTCAATGTCTTCCGACAGAAATGTTTACGGCTTTAACGCTCTTCCGAGTTGAATGTCTGTTGAGTGTAGTATAAATTGTCTTCTATTGATTTTTCATACCCGATATGCCCTTCAACCGTAAAACATTACTATGTTATAATAACAACAGCTGATAATATCGAATATTATACATTTGTTACGTTTCGTTTAGATTTTAGAGTCTGAGCGAAGCGAAGAATACACTGATTTTACAATGTTTGTTTTATTTTTTTTTCCGCGGACAACTTTTCTACTCGGGATTTCGTTCCGATTTACAGTGATGGCGCATTTTCTAAAAGGGACGGTTTCCCAATCAATTCGAAAAACCGCGGGAAAACTTGGGAAAAACAGGAGAGTAGGTACGGTATTAAACGGACAATTATCAATGAAAACACATAATACACACGCTATTGTTTTACCGCCGCATGACATATACGTATATACGTATTGTCGGCGAAGCTGCACTATCGACCGAACTCCGCCCGGGATCGTTTTTCGTTATCGGTGCTTACAGGTACACATTACATTTTCCCTCTACTATACATTCCCGATCGCTCACCTGTAACGCTGCACCCGCCCCCATTATCCCGGGACGGCTTTTCACTCGTAAACACAATTTTTCGGCCGTTTATGTTCAAATTCGGGACAATGTGTACGCATTTCGCTCTTCGTTCTTGTCGTTCAATTTGGTTTTGCAGGTAAAATCACCGCACTCTTTCGATCTTTCGCGTGAATTCAATAAAAAAACACGTGGCGGTCAGTGTGTGTGTGTGTGTGTGTGTGTGTGTAACAGCGCACGGGTACGGGCACGCGCCCGTAAGCGGTTTTCGAATCGCAAATTAAATGTCGCACGTTTCGTGTGTACTCGACGAATTCCGACGGTACGGCGCGTTTTACGCGCGGAAACCGGCACGTCCCCGGACGAATCGCATTGCATTCCGTCGGCTACGGTGCACGCGTGCGTTACCGCCGTTACGCACGTCGGTCTCCGGCGGGCCGCGGTAAACGTCTCACCCCGCGCGATTGCCGTTGAACAGGAACTGTCGCGCCGTCGAACGCGTTATTTTATCGTCGCGCCGCCGCACGTTGACGGGCATGCGGAGCGCGTGTCGTGCGCGCGCGTACGCGACGCGCGAACGGGCCGTTCTCTCTCGACCCTCCCCTCAACCCCTACCGTCCCGTACGCGCCCCCGCTCCCCGCTATCGATTATACCGCGACGTCGACACAATATCTATATTAGCTTATCATCGCGCTGTAACGCGCGGGCCGCGATTTATTTTACCGTCACCGGGATCAATACGCTTGTAACCCGGCCGACGAAAACGATCGAAACACCGCACGGGCACGACAACGCCGTAATGACGTTATCGAGTTCGATGGCTCGTGGTCAGTTCGGTCCGGCGTCGCAGTTAACCGCCGCGCGAACTCGTCTCCGCTTATTGAACGCGAACGATTTTCCACCCCGTACGCGCGCGCGCATCGGTATCGGCGTCCCGTTAAAAAAAAATTCCAAAACCAAACGAAATTATAATAAATTCGGCTCGGCGCGGCGCAATCCGAAATCGGCTGGTCGTACCACGAGTTCGTTTAAAACGAAACGAAACGAAACAAATTATGGTCGACCGAAAACCAAAAGTTAAAAATCGGGTTCGACTTTTAACACTATATAACTCTCGTTTGTGCCGCAGACTCGCGGCGAACCTCGGACATTGACGTTCGATTTGTTTCATACACGTTATTTTACAAAAAAAAAAAAAAAAAAAAAAAAAATTGAAAATAAATAAACAAAAGCGCGCGCCGGGTCGGTTTTTGTGCGATTTTTCTACGTGCACACACTGCGTGTAATGCCGTCGGTTTGCATATAATATTAACGCGACGAAAACAAACATATTACATTGTAGGCGGATACACGTAGAAAAATGAAAACAGCATACGCTCTACCCGCGTATTGCGTCCGTGATACACGATGTTATTTCGCCGCACTTGTCACGTTAAAACGCATAATGTTGTACGTATACGCCGACTTTCGAGGACACGGGTCCGGCCGCAATAATTTCCCTCGCGGTTCGCGTATAATTTATTCGATCGTATATCGTAATGAAATATTTTTTTTTTTTTTCATATTCGGAGCGTATTTTTTAATAAACCATTACAATGATACCGGCAAACGCGAAGGACCGATGCGACGTCGCGGCGTTATTGTATTATGCATATTTTATGTATGTATGCGAGAACGAATAAATTACATATGTTATAGAGGTATTTGTTTGTCTGTCGTTTTTTCGTTCGACAGTCGCGATATTATATCCCGCCGGAAACGTCAATCGGCAGAGCGCGCAATAATAACGACTAAGGAGGTATTATCGGAGAAAAAAAAAATCCGCGGGAAATACGTTTCCGGAAAATCGCTGCGCCGGACACGAGCACCGTAACGTATAGATGTACAGGTGACGTATAATAACGGGGAGGTAGGAGTGCATCTCCGCCAGCTCGCGAGTCATCGTATTCGCCCCTCGCGATCGGCCCCGGTACCGTACGCCGTTTTTTTATAAATGCCACGTTTCCGCGTTTAAACAAAAAAATCGACTTGCGTTGTTACGAAAACGAATTAAAGTGTATAAGCCGCGAGTATTGCTGTCGTATTTTTTTTTATTATTATTTTACGACATGTTTCGGCCGTAGGCCATCGTCGGACAATGAATCAATACGAAATAATGTACCGGAACAATAAGAGTATACACGGATAGAAATACGGACACATACTCCGTACGACGGGTGGGTGACTGTTGTAGGCGAGACGTCGGGAGGGTAGGATATAGAGGGGAATCGTACGTATATCGGTTTATAGTGATGCTTTAACAACAGTATACACGCCATATTGTGGTAAAATGATTAAACACGGTGCATTATAAATTTTCTTTAATGACATTCGTTTAATATTGTACCGATTTTTCCATTTTTCCTGGTTTTTCACATTCGATGAGAAAAATCCCGAGAAAATCGGAAAACGACCCGCCCCCCTCCCCCCCAAAGTACCAACCTCAAGAAAATCTCCTTTCGGAAAAACGTCTACACCACACACACCGGAGTAAGCTTTCTGGTAGAAAAAGTGTTTATGTAAGAAAAAATTAACATCTTTGTAAAACCGATACGTTCTTCATTGCACTTAGAGTCTATAAAAAACATTACCTATATTATGTTTAGTTTTTCGAAAATGTATCGATGTTGAATATTAAGTATAATTATAAACCGATTCGCGTGTTTGTTCGGTAGGCGTTATGGCGATGATTCGTTACTTTAATATCGATTATTGCCGGGCACGTAGGAAAATTTCTTTCTCCGCGTGCGAAAACGTTTTCGACAATTTACTGTGCAGCGTATTAGTCGGTATTTGATCGGTTAAATCGAGTCGGTTGACTTAACAGTTTCAATTTTATTTCGGTCACGACCGTTTTACCCTAAAACAGGTCGTACGTTCCAGCGCCCGCGTGTCGCGTAAACAGTAAAATATGCGCACAACGCTCGTCTCCGGTTTATCAAATACTCGCAAATGACCATCGACGTTTGTGGGTAGACCGGGTACGCGGGACATTTGCAGATTATGCAGACAACGGATCACGGCGTTCGATCGTTATTATCGAACGGCCTTTCGAGGTGTCCGCGCGCGAACGCGGGACAATTGCCGTAAGGCAAGTGGTGGAAACGCGCGCAGGAAAATCACGTTTTTCGTCGTTCGTGTACGCGAACGCTTTTGACGTTTTTCCGGACGCGTCTCCGGTTTTCTCCGCGTCACTGCGTTACCGTTTTCCGCGCGTCCGTCGAACGGGCGAGCCGCCGCCGCCGCCGCCGGAACGATTCCGGTGGCCGGTCTCGCGAGTCGCGACAATTGTCGACAAGTGTTCGGTGGCCGGGTTTCCCACGCGCATAATGAGCGCGCGCGTACCAGACGCGGTCGCCACTCGCCGCGGACGTTACGCGGTAACGGTCGCGATCGGAAATAACAATTATCACGGACGCGACTCCGGTCGATTATTGTCGCGTCACAACCGATCGCACGGTCGGCACTAACGGATCTACCGATGTCCACGCGCGCGGCGCCGCGTCAATATACCGGGTTTCGCAAAACGTTCGGGTCGTAACGATTCTGCAAACGGGGTAACCAGTCCGCTAAATCAACGCGGTATTCCGGTCGGGCGCTTCGTTTTCGTCGCCGACCGCCGCCGTTATCCCGTTAACGTTCGCCGCGACCGTCGAAACCGAACGTACGGCGAAATTACTACCGGAGTACTACCAGAGTCGGGCCGGTTTCATTCGTTTTTTCCCGCGTTCGGGTAACACGGTCGGTCGAGCTCTCGGTTAATCTCGGTTAATCTTTTTAGCGCCATCGGCGTACTATGTATTATTGCTCCGTGAACGCGGCGCACGACGACGTCTCTGGACCTTCAGGGGTCCGAGTTACGCGCGTGTTAAAAAGGTGTAAACGTCACGGGCTCAACGTAAAACGTTACGTCGAAACGAAAATCGAATTATTAACAGAAGTTAACACCGCGTTGATGTATCGATAGATCAAACGGTAAATCAATAACGTCGTCGCTTGTATTTTGATATCCTAGTCGTATATTTAACGAACCGTTTGTGCAACTCGAATAGCTCGCTAAAATAGTCAAACGGTCCGCTAAATCCTATCGCTAAATACCGTTAACGGAAGGTATCACGCGGCCCAGCAATAATAATAGGTACTGTCGTTACAACGACTAATCGGTCGAACCGGCCGTGCCCATAATATTGGCCGTGGGACATTTCGGTCGAATCCAAATAATAAAAACAACATAGAGTTTGTATTCTCTCGTGGTCGACATCGGTTCACGGTAAACCTACAATCTTGACTGAAAATGAACTGTTCACCGTTATAGTCAAGCCCGAGTGAGGCGTAAGTATTTGTTTTTTACATTCGTCAACTATTGTCTATTCGAAAACCCAATAGATTTATGTATTTAAGGAGTAGGGCTACACAAATTTGAAAGCGCTGTGTTAAAATTGACCTTATGCGGTTCCGTACAACGGTTGAAAACCAAACGGAAATCGAATTCGCTTGAAAATCCTCCGAGAAAATCACCGGTTCGTAGGTAAACGGATCACCCTATACGCACAGATATCTATAATAGTGACGTTACACGAATCCGCGGTTTTTTCAATACAGTATCGACCGGGTGGTTTAAAAAAAAAAAATAAATAACACGTCTGCGTATTTTTATCGACCCGGAATCGAAAACAAAACACGTCCGGAGGCTCGAATCGTTAATGGCGTAAAATCGATTTTCAATGTTATTTGCAAAATATTGGCACACACATTTCCCCGACCGACCGTATAACGTCGGGGGAGCCGACTTTAAACGGATATAGCAGGTTAGGTTGGGTGGCAAAAGTCGACGGGCACACGTGATTTAAATTTTATCGCGATCTCTCCGATTATTTTCGGTGAATATAATCGTATTAAAAACAACGCACTACTGCTGCGGCTCGCGCGCATTATCCGCCGGGTGAATAATTGATTTCAGTACATTTTACAGCGTATACGCAATAATAACCATAATAATAATTTATTAAAACGATTTTATTTGATACGTGCCGCGTAAACCGAACACTATAATGTTATACGGCAACACGGAATCCTATTCATGATATAAAATATAATATTCGGTATTAATTTATTTTCATATTGTATCGAAAGTTTATTACGCCGCGAGGTGTATTAATGCAATTTTCTCAAATGCACTGCGGGCACTCGTACATATATATATATTTTTTTTTAATTTATCCGACTAGGTATATGAAATTGTAAAAAAAAAAAAAATGCTATATTTAAAAAAAAAAGAAGTAACATCGTTATTGATTTTATCTCGAATAAATATTTTTTTTTTTTTTAATACGCGTATTTATTTTTCATACGCTTATATGATTATCAATTAATCAATCTCGGCGAATGCGTATAAAATAAATAATAACACACTGCGCGTGTACACAACTGTATGTATGTATAATTTATTCGCAATTACTATTATTTCATATCAAGCTAATAATATCGATAATTGTGTTTATATCCAAGTATATTATTATTAGAGCAGTGTAGGAGGAGAGTGCATATTTTTTTTATTATTTTTTTTTTTTTATTTAACTGATTGTGAAACGTAGCTTTCTAAGTACATAATTCGAATCATGTAACAACAAATTCGTTTACGTAATTTTTATTATGCATTTTTTGACGTTTTCAATTTTTTTTTTTTTTGACTTTTTAAGTCATGTTTTCTTTTCCAGTTCATTTTCTGGTATTTTTTTTCTCAAATTCCGTCAATTGACATCTTTACACGTATATTTTTTGTTTTAAACAGGCTGTATATACGTCAAATTTATATTTTACAAAATAATATTTTGCACAGGCTGTAGATATGCGGCTTAGGTAAAGATAAGGGTTCGATAAAATAAGTTAACTTGCATACATTCAAATTCGATCAACATTTTTGTAAGTTTTTTTATCAGTACATTTTTTTCAATTACCTAATTTTCATTATTTTTATATTATATTGCACTTTTTGTGAATTTATAAGGTTTATTACTGCATTAAATTCACAGCCCTAATTATTGTGAATGTATATTGTATACGAACCATACGAATTTTGTTGTAATTCACTACGAATTTAATTAGACATTAGGCCGATACTGTTGACGGACGTGTTGGGGTTCAGAAGGAAAGTCGAAAAAGCACAAAACGATTTACTGTATATGATATAATATTTTGTATAACATATCTGTTAACGCGACGGTACAAACCATTGGTAATCGAAAACGATTCTGACCAAGGATTTTACCCCCGGTGGCGCGCAGAAATCAACAAATATTGTACAAACGACCGTCAGCTTTTCCCGTTTGTTAAGAAAACCACGAGAAAAAGATAAAGTCCTTGCAAAGTTTTTGATCGGAGCGACATTTCTTGGTAGAGAAGTCGTTTATAGGCACAAAAAACCCCGCACGCGTCAATAATATAGTATAGCTCAGAATCGAATAGTATTAATAGAATCCATACGCAAATCGTTTAATCGACTTTTTATACATCTTGTTATCGTTATTATTATTATTATGTATCGATTAATTTTGCACGTTTATCGCGTAGACGTACTTAACGAAATTTATATTGCACCGCGGTATTGTATGTAGTTTTTTGCATACAAATATTCTGATCGGGTTTGACACTAAAATGATAATAACAACAGCTATACAATTATTTATTATAATTCGTTCAATGCGGAAATCGTCAAGTGTTTTGTATATCCGCGGATTTAGCCCCGTCGTCGAGTCGGTATTTGCTCGGTGTGAAATTCGATTTTCGTTTACTGCAGTAATGGCGTACGGCACCTACACACAACACAGTCGCTTTTCGAGGCGTAAACTCTTCGTGTTGTAAATCGGTCTCGGCGCCTTCTCGTGTACAATAAAACCGCCGAATTTATTTCGTTTTCATTCCACACACACACATATATATATATATACGTATACATCCAGGTAGGTACAATACACCGGTGGCGGTTTTGATGAAATATTAAGGGAGGGAGGGGCGATTTTAAATTCGTTGGGCCCCGTACCATAATGACGTATATCAAATAAGGGATAACAATTTTTTACGGTCCTATCATATTGTATTCCATGTGGCGTTCGTTTTGGATTCCGAATGGAGCGAAAAAGCTTATGGTTTTACAACTGTTTTATCCGTCGACAACTTTCCAACCAGTGATCTTGCTCCTTATATATATATATATATATATACATATATGTATACGATGTAGCAATTTTTCTGAAAGGAAATTTTATTGGGGAGATACTACTTTAAGTAGTTCATTTTTCCATTTTCCCAAGAGTTTTCCCCTAGAAAAACCGGCAAATCGGTACAATATTAAACAAATGTTATTAAAGGAAATATATAATGCCTATATTCAATTATTTGACAATATGATACGACACGTGTATAGATATATATTTATATACTGTTGACCGAGCACCACTATTCAATTGAACTCCGCTCAGAATCGTATTTTCGTTAGCAACCGTTTATCGTTGTTTGCGTACAGAACGTACCTAACAGTTTAATAAAAAAAAAAAAAGTCCCAGGGGGGGGAGGGCGATCACCCCCATCGGGGCGACCCCCTAAAAACACCGTCACCGTAATACGCTTAGGTACCGCGTGTTAATCTTTCGAAAAATATAAAAATGTAAAACGCGTCGCCGTCGTGTCACAATAATTCATCGCTCGTCCGGACGGTATGTGTTTATTGACAATATTGTTTACACGGCAGGTGTATTGTATTCGATAACGGCGGCCCGTACGGTGTTGAAAACAACGTTTTCAAGAGTGCAGAACGAATTACCTATGATATATTTAATTACGTACATATTTTATACCTAGGTACTTATACAACAGCTACACACAATACGCGTCGTCTGATTTCGCCGGCGATAGTTCCGCTGCCGCAGCTTGTTATACGGAGGAACGTCCCCCCCCTCCCCCTATACCGGAAAAAATTATACTGATATAATATAGTA